ATAATTTATTCTGTCCTATTCGTTGTGTCTGTCTAAAGATGAACATGGTTGACATACGCGTTGTAGCAGGGATTGTAAAAGACGAATACGTATTCGAGAAGCTTGCCGTCTACCAATCATAGTGAAAAGAAAATAACGGACAGCAATACACACGATTTCGATTGAACCGATGACTATGTACATTCAAGATGCAAATCATTCTTTTGTTTATTATCTAAAAAGGAATGTTATTTCTGCTTACTTAACAGCCAGTGTAGTTGATTTTTGACATCAGCATGAAATTTTGTCGTAGACAATGACCTTGATGGTAGTAAGGTGGTATTCTCATTCCAATGGACTCTGAATTTGATGAATAATGAATAAAGAAAATAGTTGAGACACATCAGCGTATTCAGTGACCATAGCTTACTTTTGAGATTGATCATAGTTGAAAGTATTTTGCAGTATGTCCCAAGAAGACCCTTTGCTCTTGCTAAGAGTAACCGATGTGTTGTGTTTTAGAGGACATCCATCAATAAAAGATTGCGACACAAATATACCCGTAAGTCGTCCAAAGACAATAAAACGTGCTGTGAATGCAATGCTATATACTAAGACGACACACAACCCAAGAACTATCATAAAAAGATCTAATCGATCAGCAAAACGAAACTATCACAAAATTAAATAAACATTTCCTTGTCTGACATGTCTTAACTCTTAATCCACTTACCAGTTGAAAATATCCAACAGTTGGCTCAGTCCAAATGTGATCATTATCATTACCCAAGTTTTCATATTTCTGATGAAGCTTTTGAAAATGGAAATATTGATGCCAATTGGACAATCTATATGAATGCGCCATTATCGTTAAAAATTTTGTAAAAGTGAATTCTCTCTTACATGTCAGTTACCGATCGTCTTGTATTCTTATTGCTATCTTCAATGGAGAAACGATCTGTTGCTGATATTAGTGGCTGCGTATCAGTCATGACGTGTTGTGTAGTTTTTTTCTATTTGAAATAAGGTGAAGTGGATAGTATATACAAAGCAACGGACGATACTAATGCCTGATTTGCTCGGTTGCACACATATGTTCTACGTAGACATTAAGGTCGTCAATAGTGATGGTATCTCTACAGAATATGCACAAGTGAGGAAGGGCCACACATCACGTATAATTGTCCCTGAGCAGAAAAGAAAGAAAATTGATTGGGTATTTGAATCGTCCTTTCAGAAGAATGTTTATGATGAAAACAACAGGCGTGAAGTGCAGCTCGAGAAACTCAGGAGCACTAATAAGCGTGAATTGATAGAAATGAAAACATCAAAGGACAACCAAACAAGAAAAAAAAAACAGATGAATCAGAAAAGGTATAGCATTATAAAAGAGAGCGAATGAGAACAAAAAGCACAAAAATATAGGTTGTTTACGAATTTTATCAGTCTATGACTTTAACCTTCGTGAATGACACAAACACAACTCAATGATCGAAAGTCTAACTCAATTCTACCAACAATACGATCTTATTCCATTCATTTCTCGAAATGCTCTCTGCTGAAAATCACTTGAATTAAAGGTTTAGGGTGTCAATGTGAGCCATGAACTTGAACATCTATTGAGGTACAGGAGGTTTTTGAGCTGCTCTCTTGATCTACAATGAAATATTCTTCTACCGATTGAAACTCGAAATTTCGCAAATATTTGATCTGATGGGTGTGAATGAGTGAACGAAGTTCTGATTGTGTGTGTGAGTGGGTGAGGTAGGGTTGGCTATATGCGGATTTACTCAGAACTACGGGATAAGTATGAACATGAATAAGGTCTGAGTCTAGGATCTGTAGATGTGGCTATAGTCGTAAGGTATAGGTGTATGTATGAGGACTTGTATGGTATGGGAGCAGGTATGAGTTATAGTCTTGTTTCCACCTACACTCCAATGTTTTTAGTATAAAAAAAAAGTCCTTTAGTAAAACTCAGTCCGGATTATGGTTATCTGTGGAGAAGAAAATTAGAACAATTTATTGTTCATTAGAATTACAATGAACACATAATCATAGAATTTTATTAGCACAAATCCATATCTAAAGTGTAGTATTGCATTCTTCCTAATTTCTTTACCAGAATAACTGATATTTGCATCAAGTTCACATACCAGTTAATAGCTCAGAAAACTTTTGAGAAATCGAAGGTTGTACTTACATTGAATAATATGGCATAGTTCAGTAGTAGGCTTATTAGTTTCTTGACTGACGGTATAGAGATCATCTCTTTATGTGTTCACTTATACTCTGTTTTCCTTAAAGATCCTTCAGAGATCCTTTTCAGAAATGGGATAACATTCATGACAAATCGTGATGAAGTCCTATCATGTGTAGTTAGAAAATATGTTTTTTAATTTAGAACTATTGCAATCTTGAGAAGATTCTGACCTAAAACCTATGAAAAAGTGCCTAAGATGCTTCTAAGACCCTGTTCTAATTCTGTTAACATCGTTTTTATTTTATGACTACATGTTTCTCTCAAGAGTAATTATTCTTCGGAACATATTCTTCATTTTCAAGTATATTGGCATGCTGCCCAGGATTCTGATACAGCTTGGTTTTTGAATCTTATCGACATCTTAACTTCCGCGATTGGACGGTGTTTTTTTAGAACTTCCAATTTCCTCAAGAATGAACGGTGAATCTGCACAAGGTCCTTATCATATACGTCAGGAGTCTACTTCGAAACTATTAGAAATTTTTTTCAAGAATATTCAAGATTATCCATCGGAATCTATGAAAGTCTACCGAAATTCAGCAGAAATGACAGAACTTCATTATAATCTGAAAACAATACAGAAAACATGGATTTAAATAGATTTAATTGGATTGTATAAACAGCAGAATTTATCAGGAGATATTAAAATTCATCATGATCCATAATAATCTCAGTCTCCAGAACCTCTTTCTTATTCTTTGTAAGAGATACTATGACCAATTCTTCATTTTTTTACCTAGTGTCCAAGAATGATTATGAATTCTAGTGAACTGGAAGATCATCAGAATCTCTTTTTCTCCCTTGTGAAATAGGTTAGCCAGACCTAGGCCAATCGATACGGCCCATATAGTGTTACTTTACGGCGTCTAAACAGACCGTATATGGTCGTATGGATGGACGCAGTAATACAGCCCTATCATAATGAGACTACGGCACATATGCGGCCGTATACTGTGAAAATACGGTCAGGTATACGGTGCCGTATTACTGTGTTCAAGGTGACGAGAAAATACGGTCCGTTTACTATGAGGTATGAAGCAAATTGACGGTAAAAATATGGATAGTCGTTTCGATCGATCCGAAGAGCTGTGAAAATAACACATGATGACCGAGATATGTTCAGATTTTCTAAAACGGAAATTATCAATATTTCCAAAATTTCCATAAGTTCAATAATCATATAGTAGTGTAAATGAAGTGTTGATAGAAATGTTGGAAATTTCGAAAATTTTGGAAATCACATAATTTTAGGAAGAACCAATCTGTTTGGAATACATATGCTTGAAATTTCTGAAACTTCTGAAATTTTCCTTTTTTTGAAAATCTGACCACTGTTGTAATAATCATATTGTCTGATCTAAAATATATTTTGTTTTATATATTCTTAGTTTATGACTCTGCTTAATTTCCTTTTTTCGTGAAGTTTGGAAGCATTAACCTACGTTGATGAATCTTAATTGATTGTAATGGATCTTATGGATTCTAGGCTCGATGAGGATCCGCTTTTTTTGCCTTGTACAAACTATTCAATTTACTGAGCTTTTGCTTCAAGATTACTTGTCAGAACTATTACTTATGAATGTAAGAGTGTGACATTTTGATTTTCTCCTTTTCTTCATTAGTTCACAAGCGTAGAAACGACGTCGTTTTCATCATGGTAGACAGCGACATTCATTTGATTCTTCTCGTTTTATTGTTATTCTTTGGATTTTATCATAGATTTAGGCTTTTCTATTCATGAAACATATATTACTTAACAATTACAACCCGTCACGAAAGATTTTTCAACTTGGTAGTTATGTAATATTTTACTAAACATCTGTCGATTTATTTTATGTACGTAACTCTGAAATAGGATACAACAATGAAACTAAAACAAAAGCTTTGCTGTATGCTGTTCAAATATATATTAAAGAACATGAGAATAAGTATTCGCATGAGCATTGGCCGTTGACTTATGAAAACATTATCATATTCGAGTTTAACTCATACCAAAAGGTTCACAATAGTCATCTCTTTATGGAGCTTAACTCTTTATCCCGTCTCCCTTGGTCGAACAATTATAGAAAATAAAGGAAGCGTCGGATTAAAAAGCGTTAAGAACTTTTTTTGTAGTAAACTTCAAGGACTATCGATTGATAAAAAGATTATTCCTTTTTCTTGCTCCATCTTTGAAATATCGAGCCTACAAAATAGAATATTTTGAAAAAAAACGTTCTCTACCTACAATTAGCACAGATATTTTGAAATTTCTATGTGATATAAATCGATGAGGAAGTCAACTGTTGAATTAGATAGGTTTCAAAAGTTTTATTATAACTCCTTGAATCACAAATGCAAATGTAGACGGTTGACCATGAACCCACCGTTGGGCAGGCGGAGGGTCATGATGAAGAAAATTAATATGTACATTATAAACCTCAACTCATGATAAGTTGAAACAGTATTTATTATGAATTAAATGCTTTCAGGCGTTATCAAGCGGCTCCAAGTTAGATAGACCTATAATTGACAACATGTGTCAAAAATACACGCGTTTCTTTTATATTGATTGTTATCAGTTCAATACTTTCTTTTTTCTATTACTCCAATAGTACGAGATAGATAATGCTTTCGTCTACTCGACATCGTGGTCACAGAAGAAAAAATTAAGGCTTATCATATTATTTTATTCTCTTTGTCCATCACATAATTGCTGGACTAATCAAGCCGGCGTACAATAGAAGCAGAACGCTTGATGGATCAGACCTAGACTTCTGAAAAATGGTCACGATCACGGTCACGAGAGATCGTGACCGTGACCAAATAGCTCGTGATCGTGACTTAATGGTGAAAACTTTTGAGATTAAAAATCTGATTTTTGTGCTACAAAATCAAAATTTTAATTGATTTACGTGTTTTCTGCGTTTTATTACAGAGAAAATCTGCGAAATCAATATAAATCTTGATTTTGTAGCACAAAAATTCAGCTAGTAATCCAAAATTTCCGTGACCGTGACGTGACGTGACTGAGAAATCGTGGTCATGCAAAAGTCTAATCAGACCACACCATTTGCATATTAAAGGGACTCGTAATCCATTTATGAAGTAATTTTATCAGTGTCTCTTTTGGAGCCGCTATGAGGGGTAAAAGGTTAAATTACATTTGAAAGTTTGTTTGAGTGAAGTGAAGAATATATATTTCATCATAATCAACTTCATAACATAAAAAGAGTAGAAACTATAATTTTCTCCTTGAGATATTGCTTCGCTAAGAAAATACATATGAAAATGATCTAATCCATAAATATAAAGATAATTAATGAATATTTGAATAATTGAATATTGCTCGAAGTCCATGAAGAAATGACTTACTTTGTTATCAATTTGAATCAATTTATAATAATGGAAACAAAACAAATCTTGATGCAACTCATATCTTTTCATAGTGAGATGATGACAGATCACATGCAAGAACATTCCAAGATCTATCTGTTAATTGAAGATAACTAACAAAATTGAAAATTATTTGGAAACATTATCATCAAAACACATAGTTGAATTTGAGTACATAACTATTATTTTATACAAAGATAGAATATCTAACACTTGGCTCGAAATAAATATCAAACCAAAAAGAAGCTTTATAACATTTAATTTTACAAAAAATGGTCACATATGTTATTATTTATTATAGTTCTTTTATTGTATTTTGAAGTCCAGTCATTGCTGTACTTGGTTTACGTTTTGTTGGCTTTTGATTTGGTTTATTTTCAGTTCTTTCTATTTGTTTCCTAATTTTTTGGTGTTCAACTTGTTGATATTGAGTTAATAGCATATTAATAACAAGATCATTTTCAGCGACATATTTATGAATTTCATTAATTTTAACAAGTAAATGTTGTTGTTGATTTGATATAACACTATCATTTTGATAAGGTTTTCGTTGATAAAGTTGTACGAGATGAAGATAATCAATTTCATGAGAATGAGCAGGTAGAGAATGTCGACGAAGAATAGACATAATTTTTGTTGTTGGCTGTAAGATTGCTATTAATGAATCAAGCAAAATACAATTAAGTTTACCGAGATTGATAAACGGAACTGAACGAGAACGAACAATAACAGTACCACCATGTTGTGCCAAGACTCTACAAATAAAAAAAAATTGAAAATAAAGATTCATTGAGCTTTCATTTAATATAATTTCAAAAGTTCGATAATTGCTTGTAGGAAAATAAGATTATCACTCAAAAATTTATTCAAATTATCATACGTTTTATAACTTTTATTTACATCACGTTGATTGTTAAGTAATTTAACATAAACGACTTTGAACATTCCGAATATTAAATGATATAGATCAATAAGAAGTAATTGATTATTTAGTGTAAAATCGATTGATGATGATGATGATGATATAATTCTTTCAAAAGTTTGAATATCATGAGAACTAGCTTTAATAGTAAAATGAAGTATAAATGATTGTTCTTGTTCATTAAGTAAATCACAATCGAGTAAGACTTGATAAGGAAGCAGAATTGATTGTTGAGATTTAATTATATATGGAACACAAATATTATTTATTTGTATCCAATGATTTGATGAAGACGATAACATATTTTCATGAAAAAATTGTTGTTGTTGTTGATCTACAATATAAATAAATTTAACTTTTATAATTAATTATTATCATTATCAGTACCTTTTTTATGTATTTTAATTGGTTTTATATCCTCTCTATTTAGTTCGAGGTTTCCTGAAATTTTATTCGTTTCTGTAGGTTCTTTTATTGATATTTTTGAAGAAGATATTCCAATTGGAATAGTTGGTACAATCGAAGGTGAACATATTATTTTTGACGCATTTTTTTTATCACTTTTCGACTTTTGCTGTACTCGTTCAATAAAATTAAGTATATCTTCCCAATCGAGTAATTGGTCGACTAATTCAAAATATATCATCAAGTCAAACGATCAAAACTAATGGCACTTACGTTCACCAATTATTGGAAATGTTAAAGTTCCATTCATATGCCATGAAAATATATGATGCATTAATTTTATTTCATTCTCCGTCATTGTATATGTTTGAGCAATGGGTTCTATTGTTGAAAATGATGATTGAGCTAAGTGTTGCCATTTAGAAGAATTTGCAAGAACTCGTTCAATGTATCGTTTAACAACAAAGCGTCGATCAGATCTAGTAATTTTCATAACTAACAAAATTTCCTCAAGACATACACATAAAACAATTACCGATATAATACAACAATCATTTGATTATCCCATTCTTCCCAAGAAAATTGATGTAAGCATGAAAGAGATTCGATATTAGTCATGTCATGGAAATCTTTAACTGAAAGAATCATTTTTAATAGAAATAAATCACTTCTAATTATTCATTCTTTTAAGTATTAGTTCATACAAACAAACAAACAAATATTAGTATACAAAAAAAAACGAACAAATAAAAAGTTATTCTGTTTTTTGGATGAATATCAGACATGAACTGAGTCATCTTTTGTTGGTGCTTGCTGTGGTATAAGACTTTCACGATTCTAAAATAAAAATAATTACATTAAGATCAATAAGAGTTTTCTATTGTATTACTTCATAAGACCAAAAACTACCAATATCAATTAGAATTGAAAGTACTAAACCCCCTTGACCACTAAAATGAATAAGAAAATGTAAAAAAAAATTAATTAATTTAAATTAATAACTAACCAATTGATTAGATCTTTTACTGTAATACGCATTGAATCAACAGGTTTAACCATATCAAATATTTCATTCTGAACATTATTAAATGGTGGTATATCAGTTAGTGGTCTGGTTGATAACATTTGAACCATTCCCTTTATTAAAGGAAAAGAATAAAATAATAAATCCAATCTACATATATCGATGCGAATCAATAATATTTACTCGATAAAAAAAATTTAAATCTCCTGGATGTAAATACCCTTTCTTATCAATATCCATTATTTGAAAAAGATAACGAAGACCTTGTGGTGAATTTCGATTGTCAAGTGCAAGAACGAAATCTAAATATGATTTATAATCCATTTCACCACCATATGTTAAACATTCTTGAAAAACACGTGTAATAAACACAGGTGTTAATGTACTTGAATTATATCTAAATTCAAATCAAACAAAAAAATAATACATCATATTATTTAGTAATATAAAGATCAGATTTTACTTGGCTAATTCATCTCGTGATAATAAACCATTATGATCTTTATCAAGTTGTAAATAACGTGTATAAATTTTTGAAGCTGACTGACAAGAAAACCAATTTTGTTCCAGATCATCTACATCAGCATCTTCTTCACGTAACTAAATAATAATCAAGATAAATAGAATCTATTGGTCTTTTCCTTAGTTACTTCAAGTAATTTATCAAGATAGCCACTACATAGTATATCTGGTATAGCAATACGTCCTGTACGTAATGGATCAAGAAAGAAAAAAAATTTTCGTACTGCTGTACAGACATAGAATTTATAAAAAGTTTCTTGTAATTGTGATAATTGATGCATTGTTGGAATTAATTCATATATATAATCTTCTAAATCCTAATATTTTAAAATAGTTTTATATGAGAATTGATATTATAAAAAGACATGAACATTACAGATTCTCGAAGATATCCTTGACCAATACTATCATAAAGTGATAAACCCATACGAGAATGATGATACCACATTTTACGCATTGTATATTGATATAAATCAAGTATACGTACACGACCATAAGGATCGTTTTGATAAAGATCAGCAAAAATTGTTGGTGGGAAAAGATTACTAGAATTAATATCGGTTTCAAAATTGAAAGAATTTGATAAGAACATACGCAATAGCTGGACTCGCTTTTTGAACGACTCGCATAAAATCATCATAATTAATTTTTGGTGATTCAGGATCAAGTGGAGGTGAAGCATTTTCTTCTAGTAATGTCAATAATGACTAACAAATAAATAAATAAATAAATAAATGAATAATATTAATTAGATATTTTTTTAATGTTTTACATTTGCTTCATCACTACTAATAATTTCTTGACTTTTTCGATGAAGAAATAAAGCTCGTGCTTCTTCACGTAATTTTCTACCAAGTGGATCAGTGGGAATCTACGATCGAATTAATGCAGATCAAATTTATACTATAGGAAAAACTTTATCACCATACATGTTCATAAAATTTTGGTATTTTTGACACATGATGGTGGGAATGTATTGTTGTTACATCTTTATGTGTATTTGATTTTCTATTTGTTGTTGTTGTTGTTATATCATGATGAGGTGCATCATGCTCTTCTCTCAAATATTTTGTAAATAAATCAAGTTCTAAAACAAAATAAAAATAGAGTGAAAACTTTAAAGTCAACTCTGACAAAGGCGCATGCAAATCTATCAGACGCCGTTTAATTTCATGTTTTATCCTACGAACAAGATTCAATAAGACTAAGTAAATTTTCACATATTCGAATCCACGGTTCGTCTATGAACGAAGAAGTGATGATCTCATAGATTTAAATAAATAATTGATTCTACACCTTTTATTCCGCTACTTTCCTATATTCTTTTCAATACTCGAGACTTAAAGTTTTTAATACTGAGTTTTCTTAGTCTTTTTAAATCTTATCCATTAACAAATTATGCGATCGAATAGTGTCTGATCGTAGAACATATGCCCTTGTTAGGTGGAGTTTCTTTACCATCTTCTTCTTTTGTAACCTTGGGTTTTTCTAATTGCTTTTTAAGATTTTCAATAATTTTATCCATCTAGAAAAAAAAAGTTATTTGCTTTCAGAAAAAATGATAATATAATTGTCGACTTATTTTAACCAAAAGAAAACAACCAAGTACAAAAAGAAAAAACACTAGATTAAAGCAGACAATGACTAAATGGCGTCGTTCATATAGCCATTGCTTGACTTCAGGCCATGATGCCCAAAGCAGCCAACAAATAAGATTTGCAAAGCTTAGTGGTACTTTTGTTGCTATCCATATAGATAATTGATTAGCCAAACCTGGTGTACAAAAACGATCACCACATAAACAAGCATCAACAACTTGTCGGGCAACTTGTTCGGCTGTTAAAGTTATAAATGGAAGACGAAATATGATGGATTCATCCTGATGATCGAATCCTGTATTTAATGTGGGTCCAGGTGTGACCAATAAAAGAGAAACATTATTATTATCATTGATCTGTTCTATTTCATAATCGAGTGATGTCGTTAATTGGGTTAAAAAAGCTTTTGTTGAAGCATATATAGCAGCACGTGGTGATGATATGTAGGATATTTCACTTGAAATATTGACTATACGTGAGGGTCGATCAAGCATTTTAGGTAAATAGTGACGTATAAGAAGAGTAGGAACACGTACATGAAGGGCAATCATTTGTTCATATGAATTATCGTTTGCTGATATTTGCAAAAACGGTTTTGTACAACCTCGACCAGCATTATTAATAAGTATATCAATGTTAACATTGTTTAAAGCATCAATTTTATTGATTAAATTTTCTGCAGCATTTAATTCAGTAAGATCTTGAATAATTATATGAATACTAATTTTATCATTGATTTGTCGAAGTTCATCTGCTAATACACGAAGTTTTGTTTGTGATCTTGCAACCATAATTAAATTAAAATCATATCGAATTAAATGACGACAAATTTGAGCCCCTATACCAGATGATGCACCAGTAACAAGTGCATAGGATGATCGATTAGCCACGAGAGGTAAACGATGTGATTGTCGTTTTGATGAAAAAAGGTAACCAATGAACATGGACACAAGATAAGCAATTATGTAAAATTTGCAAAGTAAACCAAGATAACTAACAGGAAGACAATAGAGAGAAATTAGGATAGTGATTGTTATCAATGGAGACGAAGGCCACAAAAACGAAGTCATATCTATCTAGAAAAAAAAGTCAATGTGAGATTTGTTTGTGTGAAATTCGTTTTTTTCCCAATAAACAAGAAAAACAGTAATAAATTTGTTCAATGATATACAGTAAGATTTGGATGCCGAGTTCGGATAAATGTTAATGTAACACAATCAATATCTGCATTACCGGTTAAATCGAGTACAAGTAAATTATTCTAAATAGATAATATAATATAAACATGAATAAATGATTTCATTCGTTTTTACCATTAGTTTTTCTTCAAATAATTTTCGTATTCCATTGGAAGTAAATTTATTTCGTGAAAGATTCAATGATTTAAGTTGATCTAAGCATAATTTTCCTAATTGATCAAATATTCCATCAGTTAGATTATTTTCTTTCAAAAAAACACAAAAAAAAACAAATCTATGAAATTTTTCCAAAAATAATGATCAATCATTATTACCTGATAAATTAATTGAATAAATAAACATGAAATTTTCAAATACTTGTAATATACATATAGCTTGTTCGAGTTTTAAACTTAATCGTTGAAGTGATAATTCAAATTTATCAAAAAATATTTTTAATGCTGATCGAATGTTTGAATAGGCAGCTAGAAAAAAAACAAAGAAATATTTCTTTCATTTAAAAGTTCAAAAAAAATATAATACTAATACTCGTACCAATTCTATTTGTTTTACACAGTTGTTCATATACAAGAACTGGATCTTTTTCAATATAAGTTGCTTTTATCTAAATATAATATATAAAAATTTATTCATCAATAAGATCATCATTGATTTTATCTTACATCAGTTTCATCAGCTGGTATAGCTAATTGGATGGTGTCACTTTCGGACATGCCCAATTCCCAATCTTGACGATCATAGAGTGTAACAGAACATGCATAAATATTAAAATTATCATGTAATCGTTTGAGAACTTGATAACGAAGACTTGATAAAGTGTCCGATGGTGACCTGTAAAATTTCAGGAAATAAATTTTTCACAAAACAAAAAATTCTTTTTGGTTGATTTTTACATTGGTATTCGAAGCTTTTTATCTTCGCTTGTGCGTTGAATTGTATTTGCTAAGCATCGAATAATTCTTGTATTTGGATCATGTGAAATTGAAGATGGAAGAAGTATAGTTGTAGTAGTTGTAATTGTATTAGTTGATGATGTTGATGATGGATGTCGAGATCTTGTGATGGATTTTGGTGTCATGACTTGTAGAACTGGTGAAAGAGATGGAGTAGGATGAGATGGTACAGGTGATTCTTTTTTTAATGGCGAAAATAAATCCAAATCATCAAAACTAACAAGATCAATATCATTTGATGATTGTGGAAGAAGTGGAGGAATAGATGTAGAGATTTTTATTGGAGATTTAGTATCAGTTATTGTTCGTCTTCGTTTACGTGCTGGTGTATGCGATGATGATACTGATGGTGAACGTGATCGTTGAAGACGGTGTTTTCGTGTTTTTGTTGTTGTTGAAATAGATGAATCTTCAACTTCAATTGGTTCTGTATCATCAACAACCCAATGTTTTTCATTAGTATTAATTCGTTCATATTCAGCATCAGATACAAATGGTGTTAACTTAGAGTTTTTTCTTTTTACAGGTGACTAAATTAGTTTTTTATTATTATTAAAATTATATTAATAAATCTGTTAAAAAACACGAGAAACATACTTGTTTATTAGTTGTTACATCATCATCTGTTCGAATTCCACGTCGAATATTATTCATTATATTTTTATATTGTGGTCGTTTATCAGTATCATTTTCTACATTACCATCAACACTATCGTTACTATGGGAATTATGTTCTGTTGTTAATGATCTATTTAAAAAAAAAATATTTTACTAATTCTGTTTTTATTGAACAATATTTTTATGTTAGTTATTCTTACAATTCATCTTCATCTGATTCGTTTCCAAAATCACTACGAACAACTTTCTGTGTGCAATACATTGGTTCATCCTCTAAATATTAAAAATTCATCAATGATCTATGTAAAGAAGCCAATAATTAATTACTTCTCACAGCAACTAAAAGTAATTCTTTTAAACGATGAAATTTTCGACGATCATCAGGTGACATATTTTCATCGTATAATGTTAAATAATCTACAGCTGTATAACCCTAAAATATTCAAATATTTTTTTTTCTCTACTTAATCAAAGAAAAAATTTTAAAATATAAACAAACATTATTTGTACGAATATTCGTTTTTGCACCATATGAAAGTAATATTTCAATAATATCTAAACATCCACTATTACAAGCATCAATCAAAGCAGTTATTCCATTATTAGCTTTTATATTGATATTTGCTTTACAATCAAGAAGATATCGAACTATATCAATATGTCCATGGTTAACTGCTTCATGTAATGGTGTCCAACCATGATTATCTTGAAGATTAATATCATCCTATATAAATAGATATATTTAAGATGAAAATATAAGATGAAGACTTAATTTCTTGTTTACTCCTTCAGAAATAAATTGTTTAACTTTTTTTAAACCATTTTTTTCTTTACAAGCTAAATGTAAACGACTTTCACCATAACAATTTCTCCAAACTTTTTTTCTCTATTAACAAGAAAAAAAAATCGAACATTAGTCTTTGTTAATAACAAATAACTATTCATATACCTGTCGACTTTTACCACGTATCGTTGAATCTAATTCATTTTCATCTTCATCATTATCATCTTCATTTTCTGTTTCATCTGAAAGAGTTGCTAAAATCGCTTCATTATCATCATCATCACTTTCATTAGCATTAATCTCTTCATCATCATGATCATTATCATCATTAGATTGTAAAGAATCTGTTATTTCACTATTAGTACGTTCTGAACGACGTAAAATTTCACTATAATTTTCTTCTGTTATTGGTGGTTGAATATTAGCCATAAATTCTTCTAAATCATCATCCAAATGTATACATGGATCACGTAATTTCATAGCAAATACAAGTGAAACTGCCATTCTCTATTTAAAGTAAAATTATATTTAATAATTAAACTAATAAAAAAAACAACAACAAATGAAATTTTACAATTAAACTTCGATCATTTGTTGATCGAGCTATAGTTAAAACTCGTTTAAATGTTGTTATTCGTACATCAAGATCAACTTTGAGACGGTATTCACATTTAATTATTTCACAAAGAGAATAACCTTGCTAGAAACAAAAGATAAAATTTTCTATTCAATTAAATTTCAAAACAGAAAAAAAATCAAAATAGAATACTTCAACATCAGCTCGTGAACCTAAACCAATTCGACAACTCATTTCACGTCGAAAATAATTAATACTTTCTTGCCATTCTTGTAGATCTTGACAAATACTACCAAGTGATGAATAAATAGTTGCCATTTCATTTTCATCTAAATTTAATTCTTGTGCATGCTTCAACTAAATAAGATTGATGTTTTTTTTTGGTTAAATCTTCAGTTTTTTGAGAGAAATTAAGATTAAAAATTTATTACTTGTTTTAGATAATAATTTTTACTTCGTTCATTTCGTTTAAGACGAGAAAATATATCAGCACATTTTTCTGCTAAACGCATTTTTTTTCTTAAATCTGTTTCTTTTTCATATCGATCTTCAACTCCAGTTAAAATTCTTTGAACTAAAAATTAATTGATTATATCATTAATAGTAATATTTTCAATTAGAGAAATTTTACCATCAGCTAAATCACGAAGAGCTTTTTCTTTGATTGGATCATCTTTTCGATATCGATAAATTTTCAAAAGATAACTTTTTGCACTTTGATAATCATCAAATAACAGAAGTGTCTAAAAAGAAATATACAAAATTATTGTTTACTTTTTGAAAGAAAAATATTCGATAATTAAAATTTTACTTGAGCAATATCATGTAAACATGATAAATATTCAGTTGTATTTTTTGCTAATTGTGCATACTGTAATGCTTGTTGCATAGTAGCAATGATTTCTTTCTTATATTGTAAAAAATTTGGAACACTTAAGTAGAATGTAGATACTGATGAATGAAGACGTGCTAGTTCTTCATGTAATTGGTGTTTTCTAGAACGGATAAATATTTTAAAAAATCGGTATCATATATTTACAAATAAAAAAGCAACATTTAGCATGGTGATAGATATTCCTAATGTATCCTTTTTTAATTTTATGATTACATCTCTTTTAAAGCTATAAGAATGTTTTAGTCCTTTTTATATGTAGAAATGGAGTGTGGTGTGTCGATGTGGATGAAGCCAACACATCCATCTAGGCACATACAGATATAACCCATACCACAAACGGACTGAATAGTGACAAATATGAAAGTCATCATAGCTTGATAACTATGATAGGAAAACCAGCTAAAATTTAATTTCTCGTGAACTCTTTAAAAAAGAACAGGCCACTACATCAAGTGCTCAAAACAGAAGAGGTTCATAGAAGTGAGACGTGTAATACATTTAGAACTGATCTGTTGGAACAGCTTCGTTCTTTTGAGAAGAATTAGCTATCAGTTCTAGTACTTCCACAAGGCACTGAATGACTGATGTCAGTGTCAGTTCGTCGATCACGATCTATTTGCTGAATAACCTTTTTAAATAATATTATCACTTAATCAATCTCTTGATATCTGTATATTTCTTTTTTGAACAGATGGTAGTAGAAAAAGAATTATATTTACTTGGCTAGTTCTATGGCACTTTTAATATATTGACTTAAAGCTCTAAGATTAGCACCAGATTTATCACCAGTTGTATATTTTTCACTCATAGCATTAGCTAAACAAAAAAATAACGTATTTTATTAATGAAGATTAATTTTCAACGATTCTATTTACCAATATTGATATATGCTCGAACACGTCTCAATGCTAGATCTTGTTGTCTTTTTTCAAAATCTTTTGTTTTAATATTTTGTTTTGTTTTCATATCAATTTTAAGTTGATAATCAAGTTTTTCAATCATTAATAAACTATTTTTTGCTGCATCTAAACTTTTCTTACATATTTCACGTGGAAGTTGATCACGTTCAGAATCATGTAATACATCATCTTGTAAATAACTTAACCATACCCAATACGTATGCGTTAAACATGTGTATGCTTGTTCCGTGCGTTCATCATCAGCATATTCTTGTGCTGACGATAAAAAATTTAAATGATGTTTTTCACTTGTAGAAAATTCATTTTTAGCAAAATAACATTCACCTAAAAATCGATGACAATAAAGAATATCATCACGTATATCAGCTTTTTGTGCTTCATGTAATTCAAGTGTAAAATATTTTATTGCTTGATCATATTTTCCTAAATGAAATGTTCAAAATTTGATTGAAATATATTTTCTTATTATTATGGAAGAAAATTACCAATAGAACGACATGCTTCAGCTGCTTCATGATAAACATCAATTTTTTCTTTTGAATTTCGTGAACCAGCATGATATATTCGTTCAGCTTCTTTTAAGAGTTCTATTAATTTAAGAATTAATTTTAGTTTGAAATTTTTTATTACAAAAAAAAAAATCATTACTCTGAACTCGTCTTTCATCCATTGGATTGAGTAAACATCTACAATAAAAAACAAAAAAATTATTTCATCTAATCTATTTTGTTCCTATAGAAAAATAAAATATCTATTTTAATTGTAAAACAATAAATAAAATCTGACAAAATATCTATTAATCTAATTATTTTGTTGTTGTTTCTATAAAATAAAAATATAAAAATCAATGATTAGAATGAGAAATTGATTCAATCTGAATTTTTACTTTTAATTCATCTCTAACAGTTTGATAATTTGATAATAAACGAAGAATTTGTAATAAATTCTCTTCATGATGTGTTTTTGTTGTCATCAAATTGATGTTATCTTTATCTAAAAACAAAATTATTTTTTATTCATTTATTTATTTATTGTTAATTTCAAATGAATTAATTTACTCATTGTTGATGATACATAATCAATCACTTGTTCAACAATACACCTTTATTAAATATAAAGAATAAATAATTTTCGAAAACAACTATATTACCATTGATGACCATCAAAAATTTCACGTGTCTTTCGAATATCACCTCGTAATGGTTGATATTGATTATTCGTTGAATTTATGTGATTTTCTTTCGACAATAATTTTGATTCAACAATTAATTTATGATTATTACTATTAGTATCATCATTATCATTATCATTATCATCATCATCATCATCACTTGATGAAAGATCAATTGAAAAAAAATGTCGTTCACATAAACCATTACTATATGATATCGGATGACTCCGTGGCAATGAACGATTACATTTAGCCTTGGCACAACGATGAGATTTTTTGACTAAAGATGATTTTATATTGTTTTGTTGATGAATTTCTGTCATTATTATACGATCTGAATTCAAAAGTATTTAGAATGTGACGACTGTAACGGTTGTACGTTTACGTTTAACAATAAAATTGCCATTTGTTCGTTCGGTATTATTCAATTGGTTCAACACGTTTAACACACGCAGATCTACTAACCGATGTAGATGATTCATCGCATAATTTCTACCAGGAACTCACTAATGCATTTGTTTACGTCCTCTTATAACTAGATCGATTTGAAAAATATTGGCATAGAGTAATTAGGCATAGTTTACAATTCCGTTATACCATTTCTTCGTCTTAGCTATTTATATTCTTTCTATTTTCAAAGTTTCATTAACTAGCGTCATCTCTACAGTAGATAATATATATATCGTTTGCGGCGTGACAATATATTAGGAGAGAGCGTCATCTATTAATTCTTCTAAAAATGGTTAGCATAATATTTTGTACAAATAATATTAAGATCTTCCTGGTTCTGAAAACATATAAATTTTGATTAACGATCCAGTTATTAGGAAAAAAGTCTTTGCACAGTGCATATCGAAATAATCACTGAAAAGCAAACGCATTTGATGCATTGGTTAGTAGATAACATTTTCAAAAAAAATCAATTTTATGTTTATTTTTTTGATATTCTAAGTGAAATTCCCTATTAGATAGATATGATTTGATTCTTTTTTATTGCAAAATCAATCAATCTATTTGAACTATTTAATCATCTGTATTTGTTATGTAGATTGACATAAAAACAAAAATGAAACGATAAATTCTACAATAATTGAAAAAATAACAAAGAACGCGAATAATTAGTTTTTCTTCTGCGTTTCGTTAATATACTAATATGTCTATTTATTCTACAGAAAAATAATATGTCAATTCATTTTATTGAGTAAATGTTTGTTGTGATGAGTACGATCCATAGCTACCGCTACCACCAACAACATTGTTTGCATTACCAGCAAGACCAAGACCAACACCACTTAATGATGATTCAAGACCCCCCATATAACCACCAGTGCCAGTAGTTCTATTTAAAGATGATGATGATTGATAGATACCTGATGAGACTCCACCAGCACCACCAACCAAATTAAGACCAGCATCACCGGTCACATTAAGACCAGCACCTCCAATCCAATTAAGACCAGCATTTCCAGATGATAATGAACCACCACTAGCACCATAAACATCGGTTGAAGATGAAACGAAATCATAGTTAGCAGTACCAGTACCAATACCATCTGGTTGATAGCTTTGATAACTTGCTGATTGCAAGTTTGATACTGCACCAACAGGAGGTGACTAAATAGCAAAAACAATACTATAACAATTTGTATATTTCTCTTGCAGTGAATAATCTAAAGATATTAAATTGAAATAGACTTACAATATCTTCAACAACACCAGCTTGCCGAGCTTGTGTAACAAGTGTTTGAGAATCTTCTAATTGCGTGCCATAACGTGCTATGTACTCAGCTGGATTAGCAGGTTGAACACCCAAATTTTGAAATCGACGAACGACTTGAGCCTTTGGTGGTTCGTAACTATAGGTAAACACTCATTAGTACAAGTGTTATTCGATCTATTAGGATTGTATACATACTAAATGATAATGTTACGTGGTTTTTGGATGACTGGAGGTGGAGCTCGTTGAACAATAACACGACGTTTCTGTTGTGTTCGATAAGGTAACCAACGTTCGACAATAATATCACGTGGTTTAGGTGGTAGGGGTGGCAAACGTTCAATGATTACTGAACGAGGTGGTACTGGTATAGCTGCAAGCATCTTTGTTATAACTGAAAATTAAAAATATTTTTCTCTGTAAACTAATTTATCACTTGTCAATAATTATACCTTGTGTGCTTACTGGCGGAGGCATTTTTGGTGGAGCTTCACGAATAACAAGTGGTGGTAATTTAGGTGGTGGTGGTGGACGTTGTCCTACATAACTAAGTATATAGATAACATTTTTTAAGTAAAGTTTTACTTACGTATGTAAAGTGGAGGAGGTGGAGGTGGTTGAGGTGGACGAACTTCTTTAATGATGAGAGGCTAAAATTGTCCAAAAATAAATCTTTGTTTTCTGTTCATTATATACAATTTGCTCATTAAAATACTTACGCCTGGTGGAGGAACTGCAGGTGGTTGTAAAAATCGAATAAGGACTCGTTGAGTATATGTTTGTGGACCACCAGGAGCTGGTCGTTGTATAACTTCTGGATTAGGATCTTTATAGAGACCTTGATTATCAACTGCATAAGTTGTTGATGAAGATGATTGCTCTTCTAAACTGCTTGCACTATAACCAGTATTATTGGCTAGAAATGCTCCTGAAAGATTTTGCTGTGCAAAGCCAGTTTCTAAATCACTACTGCTTGCTTGAGCACCAGCTCCAAGTCCAGCATAGGCTGATGACGAATAGTACTCATTACTAGTTCCTCCACCACCAGCAAGAGCTGTTCTGGCAGCTCCAGTTCCATAACCTGTTGTAGATGCGGATTCATAGCTTGAATAACTTCCTTGTGTTCCACCTTCTAAGCCTCCCCCAAAAGCAATGCCCTGTAAATTTCCACCATAAGCAGTTCCTCTGAGATTCCCATCAAAAGCAACACTATTTCCGCCTGAAATAATCCATAAAAATAGTAAAAGTGGATAGTGTATGTATGTACGTGTGTATTTATATATTTCTGAAGATTCTTCTGACGAAAATAAGTTAAACTCACCTCTAACAGGTTCACTTGCACCAGAAGTAGTTTGATAGAATGATGCTGATTTTTCGTAAGACATTTCTCAATCTAGTATCACTTTTTGATTATAAATATAATCTAAAGATAACGAGAAGATTAAATTAGGATAGGTCGAAAGACCTGAATTATTAACGTTAACTTGTTTGTCTTTTTTGTAAGTCAAGGAAAGATATATACGTCTAAAAATACTGTACAATATATAGATCATACAAACCACTTTATATTCAAATGGAGAATGAGCTGATGGTGTATCTTTTCTTTCGTACATGGTGTTTAGTCGGGTGTGGAATTTTCTGCCGTTTTTTTTTGCTCGTTACCAATGCTT